CTCAGCCCCCGCTTATACTTCGGTGAGTCCAGCTATTCAGAAATCAATTACCAGATTTCTACAACAAGATCCTCAATTGACGGACACCCAAGCAATCGTTCAAGCAATTTCTGCTCAATCTAAAAATATTGATGATTTGAAAAAAGATTTGGAAAAAACTCATGAAGACTTGAAAATTGATCTTCTTAAAATGGATCAAAAAATGGAAAATTTTCAACAGGCGATGCTAGATACTCAACATAGACTGCAAAAAATAGAAGATAAGGCAGTGGTGGTTGATCAGAAAATTGAAGCGTTACAAGAGGAAAATCAGAGATTGGCGCAAGCAAATGCGGAATTGGAGGACAGCTTGGCCGTGATGGAGATGGATAATGCTTCCCATTTTCTAAGATTTCAAAATATTTGAAAGAGAAAGATGAGAACTTGTTGGAGTTGATGAGCGAATTATTAGGGGAATTGCTTGGAATAGAAAAGGATTTAATGAAAAGAGAAATAGATCAGGTTTTTAGAATGAATTCGAGCTATGCGAGAAGAAATAGAGTTCCCAGGGAGGTTCATGTAAGATTTCTTAAAAGATTTATACGGGATGAGATCTTGAGAGGAATAAGAGATCAACCACTGAAATATAAAGATAAAGAACTCGTAGTTCTTAAACAGATTCCAAGAAGGATAAGAGAAGCCCAAAGAGAATATCAATTTTTAACGAGGAAACTTTTTAATAGGGGAGTAAATTTTAGATGGCTGGTCCCAGAAGGATTATTAATCTTCTGAGACTCAAAAAGATATAGAATAGATACTCCATTTCAAGCTGAGGAATTTTTTAACAACCACAGAGCCTTTTAAGAAAAAGGCGATGCCGAATCCAAGAAAACAGAAGAGACGATGGGTGCAGGAGCAACGAAACAATCGCAGGAGGGAGAATCAAAAAAGACACAAACAGAGGAAGATGCAAGTCCGAAAAATCAGAGACAGATCACCTCTCCTAGATGATTGAGATCTAGATATAATTGAAACTATGGAAGAGATTGGAATTTTTCCAATAAACATAAATGGTCTTAACTCCCCATCAAAAAGGAGTAAAATATTTAATAGACTACAACAATTGAAAATGGACATAATTTGTCTTCAGGAGACACATATTAAAAGACAGCATTCAAAAATTTTAGAACAATCAAAGATAGGTAAACTTTATTTTTCTTTAGCATAGCAAAAGAAAAGAGGAATAACATTTTATATGGGACACTATGAAAGCGTATTTTAGAGGCTTGGTTATAACTTACCTTGCTAAAAAGAATAAAGAAAAGAGACAGACACAACTTAACGAAAGGACAATTTAGGAATTTAGAACTTGAGTTACAAAATGATCCACAAAAGAAGAAGCTGAAGACACAAATGGAATTAATAAAACACAAATTAAATTTATTGGAGATGGAGACAAGGGCACAACAGATAAAATATTCAGAACAGAATTTCTTTGAAAATGCCAACAAACCAGGAAGATGGCTTGCATATAGACTGAAAAAAGAAAGAAAAAAATTGATAAGTAATCTGCAAGATTCAAAAGGCGAAATATATTGTCATAATGATGCATTGAAAAAAATTGCTAAAACTTATCATGAGACAATTTACAAGGCGAAGATGGTTTCTAAGGAGGTAATACAGGAATATCTAAGAAAAGCAAATCTTCCAAAGATACCAGAGAACATGCAACATATGTTGAACGAGAAAATAACAATGATGGAAATTACTAAAGCTATAAAAAGACAAAAAAAAGATAAAACTCCGGGACCTGATGGTTTACTAGAGGAATTTTATGTAGCTTTACAAGACATAATAAGTCCGATATTGAAAGATCTTTGTAACAAAACGTTTTTGGGGATGAAAATACCAAAATCCTGGACAGAAGCCAATATTTCTCTGATTCCCAAAGATGATACTGATCTCACACAAATTAAAAACTATAGGCCAATATCATTATTAAATGTGGACTATAAAATATTTACAGCAATAATAGCGGAAAGAATGAAGAAATTTTTGAATGAATTTATCCATTCAGATCAAAATGGGTTTCTGCCTAAAAGACAGATAAAGAATAACTTAAGAATTATTTTAAATGTGTTAGAATACTATGAAAAACATCCGGGGAAACAAATGGCATTGATATTTTTGGATGCACAAAAAGCCTTTGATAATCTTAACTGGCAATTTATATTTCATCAATTGCGAGTGATGGATTTTGGTGAAAATTTTATAAATGCAATTCAAGCAATCTACAATAAACAATCAGCAAAGATACTTATAAATAGAGACTATACAGATAATTTTGAGATTAGGAAAGGTACAAGACAGGGATGTCCACTGTCTCCCTTGTTATTTATTCTTACACTGGAAGTGTTGGCCAGGAATATTAGACAAGATGTGGAGATCAAAGGACTGGAGATAAAAGATCAGAAATATAAATTACAAGCTTTTGCAGATGATTTGGCTTCTATCTTGGAGGAGCCTTTGGAAACAGCCACTAAATGGTTGCAGAAAATAGAGGAATGTGAAGAAGTGGCTGGGTTGAAAATAAATAGGGAAAAGACTAAAGTACTTACAAGAAACTTAACAGAAAAACAGAAAGCTCAATTTGTGGAAAAAACAAATCTCCAGATAGTTAAAAAAGTTAAATACTGAGGTATTTATTTAACATCAAAATGTATAACAATAAAAGAAGATAACTATGAAAGATTATTGAATCAAATAAAAATGGATTTGGAGAAGTGGAAAAACTTTCAATTATCACTACTAGGAAGGATAGCGACTATTAAGATGAATATTCTACCTAAATTGTTATTTTTATTCCAGACGGTTCCTGTTAAACTAAGCCAGAAATTTTTTGATGACTTAAATGCAACAATAATGAGATTTATATGGCAAGGGAAAAAAGCAAGAATCAAAATTAAAGTGCTACAAGAATCAAAAGACAGAGGGGGCTTTGGGCTCCCAGACTGGAGACTTTATTACCAAGCCACTATTTTGTTGTGGCTTAAAGGATGGATCTCACTGAGAAATAAACGACTTCTTTATTTAGAGGGACATGATTTGCAACTGGGTTGGCATGCTTTCCTTTGGTACAAGAAAAATAAAGTACATAAATACTTCCAAACCCATGCTATAAGGAATGTACTTTTCTCAGAGTGGGAGATAATTAAAAATAAAATCTATATGAAAATACCTGAGTGGCTTTCCACAATGGAAGCATAACGCATAGACTTAAATTAATTGATACTATTTGAACACCGGATATTTCTCGGCGCCTAAGGACTGGGCACTATATCCAGGATGGAGCGACGCCTTCCCCACTCGTAACCTTTAAGAGTGTCGGTTGTCCTACACCAGACCGGTACTCTCCCCTATTACTGTCTAAGGGGGTCGTCTACTGTAATGATAACGAGATTTTTGAAAATCTTATCTGGAATATGACCATTATCAGAGTTGGGTCTCAGGTGTTCTGGGATAGGTCCATGGCCATCCCATTGAGGTGAGACGGTTTATCAGATCACCTGGTTGTAAAGGCTCTGCAAATTCCAGCCAGGGTTCACCCAGAGAAATCAGAATGATCTCATCAGCTGGCATTTAGAATCATTGTGTGCCTCTCATTGAAGTACCAGGTACTCTGTTTGACTTATGAACATGGAATGTGCTGTTCTACACAGTCATCATACTTCACTGAATTTCCTAGAAAGAGACCATTATTTAAATTGGATACTAGCATGTATTGGACTTTTTTGGGGGGATTATTTTTGTGCCAGAGATTTCATTGCTACTGAGGAGAAGGCATATATATCCATCTGGAAGATCTTTTGAATTTAGCCCATTTTCTTAGGTAACCCTCTACACATGATGTGATCTAGAAAACTGACAGTGTTTGCTTGCTTCAGAAACAATTTATTTATTTTATTTATTTATTTATTTATAATTTGATTTGTATTCCGCCCTTCTCCTCACCGGACTCAGGGCGGCTAACAGCCTTATAAAACAACATTACAATAAATATCCATATTAAAACCAAATTAAAAAAAAATATTCGTAAAGGCCAATCGTTAAAATTACCCTTAAAATTACCCTTAAAAACCCCACTAAAATTCCCTAGGCCAAACCCGCTTGTTCTTTTTCGGTACAGAAATCCCGCGCCGCCTTCCTCCCCTCTAGGCCCTAGTGGGCCTAGAGACCCCCATCAAGCAAGGTCTCCCACCCCCGAGGGTGGCTCTTCCGCCTCCCCCTGGGGGTCGCCAGCCGGCACTGTCTGGCTGACGGCACCCTGAGGAGACCCACTCTGTGGGAGCGTACCGGCCGATGGGAGGTAACAAGCCCTAACCTTTTAAATGGAAAGGTCATTTGTATTTAAGTCCACTTCTTTTTCACATTGTACTGTGCATATGAATTGAAATGACCACTCAAGACAAATTGAAAATTCATATTTAATCTATTTAATCAGAGCTGTCTATCACACAATGAAATGTGTACATTATATTTTTTCTTTATCTGTCTATGGAAATTTTCAGTCATCCAGGCTATATGGTAGTTACTCCAAAGGCGCTTTTTCACAAGACAACTGGACTTTCTTGTTTTTCTTGGAAGACATTTTGCTTCTCATGCAAGAAACATCTTCATCTCTTACTGGATAATGGGGAATTTATTTATACTCCTTGCAGGCCGGTGGTCATTTGCACTCTTTTAGAGAGTCGTGGATGCCACCTGGGGGTTTATCTGTGTCATCAGGGGCACTGAGTAGTGCAAATGGGTATGAAAAGTCCAGTTGTCTCATGAAAAAGCACCTTTGGGATATTTGTCTATTTGTATGATAGTCCTCATTTCCAGAAGGAAAAAAAGTTCTGAGCTATATAAATTTCAGGGGACACAGCAATATAGAAGGCCAATCTTACTGCAATTGCTGGCTTAAATTGCCAGTGGGGAAGATCTACATATAAAGGATATCAGGAAAATGGAAAGATTTGTTAAAACTGTCTTTTCATGAGTTGATGTTTATCATTCAGTTCAGGTCTCATCACAATGATAAAACACTTGGGAAGGAAGATGCACACCAATAGGCCAGCACTGGAGGAGATCATGGAGAAGATCTCCACAGCTAAGGTATATTTCCCCCTTGTGCTTAGATAAGTTGGAATAAAGCACAGCCAAACACTGCAAAAGACCAACATGCTGAAGGCGATGAATTTGGCTTCATTGAAACTATCGGGTAATTTCCTAGCTAGAAAAGCAGCAGAGAAGCTAACAAGAGCAAGAAAACCCATAAAGCCCAAAACACAGTAGAACATGACTGAGTCTTCATTGCATTCCATGATGAGTTCTTCAGACACTGAGTGTGCATCAAAATCTGGGTATGGTGGGGACATTATCAGCCAGACAGCACAAATACACATTTGAACAAGGGAACAGGATAGAAGAATAAAACTGACCATTCTCCCCCCCACCCATTTCCTCAATCTGGAACCAGGTTTGGTGGCCATGAATGCTAGAACCACAACAAAGGTTTTGGCCAGGACAGAAGAAACCGCCACGGAAAAGATGAGGCCAAATGATGGTTGTCGAAGGAGACACACAATTGTGTTGGGTCTCCCAATAAAAAGAAAGATGCAAAGGAAAGAAAGGAGGAGGGAAACCAGGAGGATGTAGGTGAGATTACGGTTGTTGGCTTTGACAATAGGAGTGTCTTTGTGTTTCATGAAAATTGTGATTACCAAAGTTGTCATTAAAGCAAAGCAAACTGAAAGAATAGTCAGACTAATCCCCAAGGGTTCTTCATAAGTCAAAAAGGTGATCCGCTTTGGAATGCACATATTTTTGTGAGCATTTGGATATTGATCTTCTGGACATGGAGAACAGTCATCTACATCTGAAAGAGAACATAGTAGAATTGATGCAGTGGATTACAGACAGTGCTGTACCCTCATGGCTTAGTCCCGTTTTATCTGGAAATTTCCTACCCTTTGTTTTTGCTATTTTCCCCTCAGGACACTGACGGCAAGCATAGCAGCAAAAAGACTCCCCTTCTATCTTTTCCTTGCTGTATCCTGTCTCACAAGGATCATTACACCGAGATAAAGGTAATGCCTATCAATGAACAAAAACGAATATTTTAAGATACGGAAGAAAAAGAAGAGATATTCTTACAAGGGATCTTGGAGATTTTCTAGTCCAGCCCCCTGCTCAAGTGACTGTCTAGCCTCTTCTTAAAAATCTCCAGTGATGGAGCACCCACAATTTCAATTACTATGGAATCAACCACATAAAATGGATTGATAAGCAGAAGTAATGCGATTGCATCATTTTGCGATCTAACTGGTTTGAAATAATAATTCATTAAATATCTACAATTATTGGTATCAATGACTTTCCATATCAATCAACCCCAGTCTCCAAAGACATTTTTTGTGCTGGTTAAAGAGGGTTTTCTCATAATTTTGAAGTCACCAGGCTGATGAAAGCCAGTAAACTGGATTGTAGCTTTTATTCAAAACCATGTATTGTCCGTAATTAACAGAGGGCCAAAGTAATGAGTTTGATGTCCTATACCAGGGCTTTTCCACCAGTGGTACAGGTACCACCTGTGGTACATTGGTACCTGGCAGGTGGTACGCCACCATCCTAGAAAAGTGGTAGCGGGGGAGGGAAATGAGCTGAACCAGTGGCAGCATCGCACAAGCCTGAGCTAGAGATTGCTGGAGCTGCAGGGCTGTCAGGGCTCAGCGGAAGCACCAGGATCGGCGCTTCTTTGGGTCTGTCAGGGCTCAGTGGAAGTGTCAGGATCATCATTGGGCTCCAGCTGGAGCCCGGTGCTGATCCTGGTGCTTCTGCTGAGCGCAGAAGAAGCACCGATCAGCTGGAATGTTGCAGCATCTTCAGGGTCTTGTGATTTACATTCAGATGCTTGGCAACTGATTCATATTTATGACGGTCACAGTGTCCCAGGGTCATGTGAAGTGACCAAAACCTGCTGCAACCACCCAGCAGACAGGGGGAATAAAAACCAAACACCCCCCACCCCACCCCCACTGCCAATCCTCAACAGAAATGCTCACAACAATGAAAACCTCGGACAGGAGGAAGAGTACTGCTGGGTGGGCAGGCAGGTGTCATGCTTGGCTGTGGCTTGGGAGGGCACTTTTTTCAGTGCCATCGTAACTTCGAACAGTCATTAAGCGAACTGTTGTAAGTTGAGGGCTACCTGTACTTTATCACTTTTTTCTTTTCTTTTTTTTTGGTCATCAAGTTTTTGACACCTTGCTAGGTGACTGGTGGTACTCGGATATTGCCATATCCTAAAAGTGGTACAATGGGTGAAAAGGTTGAAAAGCCCTGTCCTATATCAACTATTAGAAAAGTATATATATATATATATATATATATATATATATATATATATATATATATATATATATATATATATATATATATATATATTCCTTCCCTAGAACGTTGATACTTAGGCTATTTCAGAGATGAGGCTCTAAGACTTCATCAGTAAGAAATTTTTACACTATATAAATGAAGGTAGACCAAGCTAGATTCAGACAGCTAACCTGATTAAAACCTCCTGGCCAGGTGATGGAATCTATAGAAATATTGAAGAATTTGTCTGCTGGAACTGTGGGATCTACCATTCCAACTTGGACCCTAGCAAAGGATTGGTTTGAGAATGTGACCCAGTTGATAACGTCATATCCACCAATGAATTCTCCATTTTCATCAAAGGAAATCTTCTCACCAACACTGTTGTTGAATCTGACACTTCTCAGAAAAGAATGAATCTGAAATAGAGAGACAGACAGAGAGGGACAAAGAGAGATAAGGAGAGATGAAAGGAGAAATAATGTATATGTTCAAAATATAGATATGGATGTTTAAATAAAGAAAATATAAAAACTTTCATTTTAACTTTAGGTCAGAATCAAACAAGTAACGTAACAATCATTCCAACATAGAGGCAGAGGTAAAATATCGGATTACTGAAATAAAATTCACATAGAATTGAAAAAAACCCAACAACAACAACCAGCAGCAGAATGTTAACATTAAACTCTGTAGTTTAATTGCTAAAGCCTCATAAGAAAGATGATCTCTTAATAAATATATGAGAAATAATAAGATGTATGTAAGGCGATAAAAGTTTAATACTATTCTTACTTAGAAAGAGACATATACTTGCTGTAGCCATGCTAATTTTTTTAATTATTGCAACTGAAATCCAACAACCGAGAAGCAACATACTAACAAGAAACAACAAGATGTAATTGAGAGAGAGAGACATACAGACAGGCAGACAGACAGACAGACAGACAGCTTTCTGGTTACATTATGTTTTAACTTGTTATTGTCTTATATATTTGAATATACTATCTTATATTCAAAAGAGAGAGAAAAATGTTCATAAGGCATATCAACTTTCCATAAGCCAGACAGAGTTCAGGATCACTTTGTTTGGAGATGTTATATACCTTCAATCGTGGTTTGCATACAGAAGTGGACTATAATACGTGATATGCCCATTCCTGGCCAGTTAGCAAGAGACAAAGGCAGTCAGGCTCCTTCTCCCCCAGCTAACGTGTTGTGAATGGGGAAATCTCTGAGTTTCTACAGATCATAGGAATGGTCTTGAAGGACAGGAGTGGGAGCCAGTCAAATAAGAGGACCTTGAGGCTAGATCACGGTAAATAACTTGAGAAAATATTTCAAACAAGCCCAGTTCTCCCTCTTCTTTGTGGCAACCCCTGAGATATTGGAACACTGATATCTGATCACCCCTAGTCCTTATTTTCATTAAAATAGACATAATCAATTCCAGCAATCGTTCTTTATATATTTCTTTATAAGCTCCAGTTCCTTGATCACTTTTGATGCTCTTCTCTGCACTCTTTCTAGAGTCTCAACATCTTTATTAACAGTGTGGTGACCAAAACTGGTCAAACAATACAATAAGATTTGTCTGGCATGATCTGTTTTTGACAAACCCATGTTGGCTTTTGGTTATGACTTTATTTGCCTCTGTTCACTGATTCTTTGCTTGATTATCTTTTCCAGAAACTTCCCAGATATTGAGGTCAGGGTGATAGGACTATAGTTTCCTGGATCTATTTTTTTTCCTCACATTTATCTAAAGCAGACATGTCAAACTCACGACGTCACGTTGACGGCAGTGGGGTGAGCAGTAACATGCAGGAGTCTGTTACTGTAGTCTTTGTAGTAAAGTTAATCCTGACCTACATGGTCATGGTTTCTCAGTCAGGTCTACCCCTTGCAGCTGATGATATCTTGGAGGTCTCTGTGAATGAGGTAGCACAGCAACACATAGGTACAGGTGGTTCTCCTTTAATGGCTGCTTGTGCAGCAACCATTTGCATTTGCAGTGGTGCAGAATGAGTGGTACTTATGATTTCCTTGAAATTCAGGCTGTTGCAGGACTCCTGTGGTCACATGATCACAATTCTCCCATATGTCTGTCTGTCTGTCTGTCTGTCTGCCTGTCTGTCTGTCTGTCTGCCTGCCTATCTACCAACCTACCTACCTACCTACCTACCTACCTACCCATTATATAAAATACAAAGAAAAATAGAAACAAGAAATTAGGGGAAGGAAAAAGACAGGGGAAAAAGAAAATGCGAGCTACAAGGGAAAAAAGAAAGAAAAGGACTTGACGTCTGACTCTTTTTAGCACTGTAGAAGATAAAAAACACTCCAGCCTCAATGATGACAATTCTTGAACTTGGCAACTGGCCTGAACTTCTGATTATGATGGTATCCCATAGTTACATGATTGTGAGTTGCAAACTTCCTTGCTGGCTTTTCACAATCAGTTAATGGGGAAGCCAGAAAGAAGTTGTAAGTTGTGATCACACGGGATCCTTGCTTAAAAACGTGTGCAGTCCTCAATTAACAACAGTTACTGGGATCATCTGGAACTGCTATTGGTAAGCCCAATGATCAAGTAACATCACACTTTATAACAGATCACTTAGCAATGGGAACTCAGGGCTCAATTTTCATTGTTAAGTAAGGACTACCTGTGTAAAGTATAGCACAATGGAAGACAGACTCACTTACTTTTAGGTAAAGGTAAAGGTAAATATTTCCCTGTCCAGATGTGTCTGACTCTAGTGTGTGGTGCTTATCTTCGTTTCTTGGCTGAGGGAGCCAGCATTATCCAAAGACATTTTCTGTGGTTATGTGGCCAGCATAGCTATACGCCAATGGAACATGGAATGCTGTTACTTTCCCAACGAAATGGTACCTTTTAATCTCCTCACATTTGCACGCTTTCTGCCAAAGTGGTATATATTAATCTACTCACATTTGCATGCTCTTGACCTGCTAGGTGGACAGGAGCTGGAGCAAGTAATGGGAACTCACATTGTTCGGTGGCACTTGGGTCTGAAACCTGGCTTTCAGATTTCCAGCTGACAGGTTCAGTGTCTTTAACCATTGAGCCACTGCAACCCCTCTTTTAGATAGTAAAATCTCAACTTAATGTAGAAAATAATTTTAGGAAACTATATTCTTCCTAAGAAATCATATCTAAGTAAAAGATGTTAGGTAGAGGGAATTGATGAGCAAAAGGTAATGCCCTTTCTTTTATTGTATATGTTCAAGTAAAGGCAGAATCAACATCTGCAGGAGCTGCTGGAATTTGAAATCCTGCAATAAGTAGGTGCTGGATTTGGTGGCTTAAATGTCCAGATTGTAATCTATGATTCTTTCATCAAATAGGAGTACATATCTCTCACAAAATTTCAAAATATCTTGCCTTGTTCCTTTTTTTTATTAAGGCCCTGAAAAGTTAAAGCAGCCTCGATTCCCTTCCCTGTTTCTCCTAGAACTGTGTTCCTGGAAGAACATAAGTCTGTTCTTATCTCCATTCATTTATTCTAAAGTTATGCATATGTTGCTGTGAATATATGAGTGGTGAAATACAAGTGACTCCCAATTGGTCTATGAAGAGGTGGGAACCATATGCCTGATGGAAAGGGAACATCTCAGCATGCTGAGTCTTTTTTTCAGAAAGGATGTCACAATATAATGACCAGTCCTTCCTCTACCACACGTGGTTTGCATGAGGACACAATTGCAAGGGACGCGGTGGAGCAGTGGCTTAATGACACTGGAACTTCTGGCCAGAAATGGTTTGGACTTTAGTGGTTTGAGCCTGGCTCTGTAAGATGGGGTGAGCTCCTGCCGTTCGCTCCCCAGCTCCTGCCCACCCACATGAGGTGAGGTAAAGTAGACCAGCAGAGGAGCCCAAAAGAGCCGGAAATCCAAGCATCATCAGTCAGCTGGTGTAAGCTAGATTGTTTCCTGTAGTGCACCAAGGATAATCATGCAAAGCCGAACAGAATGAACTAGCAATTTAGACTGTCAGGACTGCGTTGTGTCTAGCAATTCTAGATTTCCCTGACTTTGTAAGCCAGATGCTAAATAAATAAATAAATGCATGGAAATATCCTTTTCTGGAAATGCCTAAAAATGTGAGTACGATTATACTTTCAACCATCAAATAACTGGTTCTGGCTAAATGCAAGCCTTCCAAACAAAGTATCTAGAATAGAATAAAAAACAACTTCAGCATATCATGTAGAGAGTGTAGAACACTTCTTCCACTAACTTATAGACTGAACTTATGGCAGAGTGATGGAATGTAGTAAAGAAGATGGATTCCCAGGATGGAGGAGATGTGATTCAGAGAAGTAAAAGGCAACTCATATGGGTGGGAGAAAGAAGATGACCGTAACCCTCACTTATAGTTCACATGATAGATTGTAGATACATAGAGTGCTGAGTCCTGCAAGGTTTTGTCTATAGGTATGAAACAATAAAGTAATCAGCCTGGAAGAATCATCATATGTTACTAAGAGGTTTTGGGCTTGACAGGCGGTTAATACAAAGAAGAGCAACTAAAACGATTAAATGCCTGGAAAGTAAAACATATGAAGAACGGTTGCAGGATTTGGGTTTTGCTAGTCTAGAGAAAAGTAGGACATGATAGCAGTCTTCCAGTATTTAAGAGGCTGCCACAAAGAGGAGGGGGTCCTCTTATTTTCCATAGCACCAGCGTACAGGAAAAGAAACCAGGGATGGAAACTAATCAAGGAGAGAAGCAATTTGGAATTAAGGAGAAACTTCCTAAAAGCAAGGACTATTAACCAGTGGAAAAGTTGTAGGTACTTCATCACTGGAGGTTTCTAAGAATAGACTGGACAGCCACTTGTCTGAAATGGTATAGGAACTTCTGCTTGTACAGGGGGCTGGACTAGAAGATCTCCAATGTCCCTTCCAGGTCTATTCTAATTATAATTTCATGGACTAGAAGACCTCCAAGGTACCTTCCAGCTTCATTCTGATTCTTATTCAAATTTCATGGGCAGAAATATATTCTAAGTATTTCAAATGGTTAAATCAATACCACATCTCAATTTTAGGTCTAAGGTCAGTTACCCTAAAGTTTATGGACATATCTTGAAACAACAGATATGGTGGTTTCTTACCTGCCACCACATTTTATTGTGAAACTGTTTCCTTCCTTTTTTCATTATTGATGTTTCCCTGGCTTTGGATAAATACAGAGATTGCAAAGCATGTGCCACAGCATAGACTGCATTGTAAATATTGTAACTCTGGCCAGTGACGCGTGTTTCAAACACAGACGTTGGAAGGGTCTCAATTCTCTCCTGTCCAGTACAAGTTTTCTCAGTCGTCTCCGTTCTTGAGTTTGAGAAGAAACAATCAAACGCCTGTTCCCAAAAATGTTTTCGAAAATGATCATGGGGGTCATTGTTTGGACTTAGATTGCGAAGAAATTCCTGGAAGTGTGGAACATGTTTTGTGTGAACTGCAAAGGATAAAGCACCATGTAGGAAATGGATGTCCCAATTTTTATGAAGGGAAAATGAGGTGAAGTCTGTCTGAGCATTTATAAGCCAGATCTTTTGCTTCTTTGGTATATCCTCCACTTCTGAAAATCGGAGGAAAGTTCTGAGAAACGTTATGGTCTGAATTTTACCATATACAATTATCACATTGGCTGTGCTGTTCATGAGAACATGGTATATCTTTAGTCCTTCATCCATGGCATCAGTAAAATCAGTGTAAAAATCTAAATTTGGTAACTCTGCTATGAACTCAGTGCAGATGCCGAACTCTGAAAAGATAGGGACTACTTCCTGGACAAATTTCTCTGCTTTCTCATCCTTTACTACAAGAATTCCAACCCAGATCCATCTTAAGTACTTCAATAGCTGCACGAGACCCTGATGTTCATGGGATACATCTGGAAACATTTGCTGGAAGAAAACTGCTTGAGTCTCTTTATCCATGGCTGGAGCAGAGCCATAGGTCAACTGCAGGAAGACAAAATATGTGAATACAAAAGTCTAAGTGAACCTCTGAAAATGTGTACATTCATTTGAGTCTCTGGGTGCCCTTGAGCTTATAAACTGAAACATTATACAACTAGTTGTCTTTATTTGGAAATATCAACCAAAATATACTGATATACTGTATACTGAGGCTGACAAGAATTAAAGAAGAGGGGGGTCAACCTATTTTCCAAAGCACCTGAAGGCAGGACAAAAAGCAATAGATGGAAATTTATCAAGGAGAGAACCAACTTAGAACAATTAATCAGTTGAAAGGCTTGCCTCCAGAAGTTGTGGATGCTCCATCATTAGAGAAGAGATTGGACAACTATTTGTACAGAATAGTGTAGAGGGGTTGGTCTAGAAGACCTCCAAGGTCCCTTCCAACTCTGAATTCAGTGTCTGGTACTGGGGAATGTTTTTGTTTGCCCAATATCCCCACTGTCTGTTCAGAGTTATGATTACTCATGCTGCTACGGTAATCCTATCAAGCAAAAAATAATATCTAGGAATCAGAAAATTGTTCCCTTTTTTAGATAAAGAAGCCTGGCATGGCAATATAATAATAAATATCTTCAGCACATCTTACCTGAGGAACTTTGTAGATGCACAATATAGCTGCCATGTGAAGAGAGATATCCGGTCCCCCAATGACTGCAGCCAAACGTTTTGGGACCCCACACTTGTAGTTAGGGATGAATTTGCCCTGAGTGAAAGGCAGTAACATTGAGGCGAAGTAGGTCCAGCTTGGACTAAAATGGCTGTTAAAAATATGGAAGCCCAGCGTGACATTGGGTAGGATCTGTGGATTTTCATTGATCTCTTTTAGAGTAAACGCTAAGGCCAGGATATTCTGGTAACTCTGAAAAATTATTCTGTAAAAAAAACACATGAAGAAAGGTCTGCTTCATATCATGGCACCTGCAATCCTTAAATACAAAACATTTAGTGGAAAGTGTTTTTCTGCCATATTTTGATTATTCAGCTAAGATCCTGGAATATGCAAAGTGTAACACTAGTTCATATATACCTCTACAAGAACTGGAGTTATTTTTAAGAGAAAAATTGGCTTCAAATTTCAAGCATTATTCCTGAAAACATGAGAAAGGTCCAGTATCATACTTCAGCTTTTCATAATGGTTTACATCAGGATATGCTGGTAATTCTGAAAAAAAATATTCTGTAAAAAAACACATGAAGAAAGGTTTTCTTCATATCATGGCATCTGCAATCCTTCAGTATAGCACCTTTAGTGGAATATGTCAGTGCAATATCTAGAAACATAGAAACACTGAAGTCTGATGGCAGAAAAAGAGCTGGTGGTCACCCTTTGAGCTATTTGTTTTCTTTTTAGTTTATTCATTATTTTTAAATTATTTTTAATTTCTATCAGATGATGGACATGTATTTAGCCCAAAGTTTAGTTCAAACTCAGTTACTGATTGATGACCGCAATCTCTACTTGAAGTTGGTTCCAAGCTTCCACTAGTCTTTCTGTAAAGTATTACCTTCTAACGTTACTTTTTTTTTAATTTTTATTTTATTCAAATACAAATAATACAAACATAACACATATAAATCTAAATAAAAAACAGTATAAAAATACAAATACTACAGTGCACCCACGGCCCTGGAGACCATTTTTATTACCTATATTTCTTTTCATATAACAACTAAGAATATATAATATATTTGAATTGTGCCTTTATCCCCTCCAAAACAGCATGTATTCTTAAGCAGGTTTATTCCCTTTGCCTTACACCAAGACTGTTTTTATAAAATCATCCCATATTTCATTATAATTATTTACTTTAATCATGCCTTTTTTAAATTTAATTTCTGTTAATTTATCATTTATTGCCATATTCCATATTTCATTATACCACTCATTTCTTTGAATATCCCAATTCCATCTCCAATATTTAACCATTTAACTACTCCAAATTCTAACTGCCATTATCAAATTTACAATCAATTCCTTTTTGCTTCATTTATATCTTGTTTTTCCAACAGTAACAGTAACGCGATCCTCAGTGACATATCTAAATTTACCTTCAAAAGTTCTCTAATTTCCCTAAACACCATGTCCCATATCTTTTGTGCACTATCACAATCCCACCACATATGTTTATATGTTCCAATCTCTTTCTCGCACCTCAAGCAAATATTTGTATATTTAACATCTATTTGATTTAATTTGCGTGGTGTTAGGTACCACCTCCATATCACTTTATATCCGTTTTCCTTAACTCTAACTGACATATTCTTATATGCTCTTCTGTTCCAAATATTTTTCCAATTTTTATCATTTATTTCTCCTAAATCTGTTTCCCAGATTAATTTTAAACCTTTTGCCTGATCTTCTAGTTCACTTAATATTCTGTATATTTTCCCAATTCTTCCTTTACCTATATATTCTTCATTTTCCTCACTTTTTTTATAATCATTTCAAATTTTGTTAACTGTCTTTCTCCTCGAATTTTTCTTCCATTTTTATCCATTTCTCTAATTGTATTAGATTCAACCAATTTAACTTAGTATCTGATAAAACATTCTTTAATTGTATTATATTCTTTATCTTGTTCTTCCAGTCTTCCAATTTATATATCTGATTTTTTTTAAATTTATTAATCCAATCTTTCAATTCAATCTTAGGGAATTTCTCTATTTCTACTACCGGTATTAAAGGAGAAATTCCTGGCATTAACCGGTATCTCCATTTATCCCATAATTCTATCAGGTTTTTTAAAAAGGGATTTTGAATTCTCTTAACAATTTTTTAATATCTTTTTTAAACGAATATGTTTCTATATGAACATATTTCCCTTAATTCCTTCAATGCTATATCGCTCCATAATAAATCTCTATCTGCTATAATATCTGGGACCACCCTTAAATGATTAGCTACCCAATAATTTCTAACATTTGGAAGACCCAGCCCACCCTTTTTTAATGGTTCATACCATAAAGCTTTACTTATTCTTGCTCTCTTGCCTCCATTACAATACACCTCCAGCAATCTCTATATTTCTTTAATTCTTGATCCAAAAACTTAATTGGGATCATCCAAAACAAAAAGTTATTTTTTGGTAAAACTTTCATTTTTATTGCTGCAATTCTTCCAATCCATGATAATTTTACTTTTCCATATTTATCCATTTTATCTTTTATATCTTTCTTTAACTTCTCATAATTTATCTTCTTTAATTCTCGAATATTTTGGGGGATGTCAATACCTAAATGTTTGATACTATCTACTATTTTTAATTTACATTTTTCTTTCAATACATCCATTTCTTCTTTACTATAGTTATATAACATCATTTCTGATTTTTCCCAATTTATTTGCAAACCACTATATTTCCGAAATTCATTCAAATGTGAATATACCCTCTCTATAGTAGCTATGGGATTTTGAAATGTTAGTAATGTATCATCTGCAAATAAATTTATTTTCGTTTTCTTACATACGCCAATTCCTTCAATCAATGAATCTTTCCTAATTGCATTTGCCAAAACCTCCATCAATAATACAAATAGAACTGGGGATAAAGGGCAACCTTGTCTCGTTCCCCGGCTTAAGATTATTGTATCTGTAACACCATCATTTATGACTATTATTGCCTTATTCTCTGAGTATAGTTGATTTATCACCTTTCTAAAAAAATTTCCAAAGCCTAATTTCTCTATTAATATTTTCAATGTAGGCCATTCCACACAATCAAAGGACTTAAAATCATCTAATGCTAATAAACCAGCTTTTAATTTTTGATTCTTTATGTAATAGCCTAAATTTAATACCCTTCTTACTACATCTGACATTTGTCGGCCTCTTATAAATCCACACTGGTCATTTTTAATATAATTCTCTATAAATGTATTCAATCTATTTGTCAATATTGCTGTAAAAATCTTAGCATCCTGATTAATAAGGGATATTGGTCTATATCATCCTGGATTTGTAAGATCTTTATTAGGTTTTGCTATCAATAATATCAGAGATTGCTTCCAAGAACTTGGAATAACTTCCCCTTCCATTATTTTATTAAACATTAACCTCATCTTCGGCACCAATAATCCTTTAAAATTTTTATAATATTCTGTGCCTAGTCCATCTAACCCTGGTGCTTTATTAATAATTTCCAGTATATCCTCCTCTTCTATTTGTAATTCCATTATTTCTTTATCACATTCTTGAATTTTATAGTTTAAATTCTTTTCTATATATGCCTGACTTTTATTCAAATTTATTTCCTTTCCCTTAGATAACTTTTCAAAAAACTTCTGAAATATCAACAATTTTTCTTTCATCAAGTTACATCTTTCTCCCTTTTCGTTCTTTGTTACTCCAATCAGGCTTTTTGCCTTTTTAACTTGTGTGGTTCTAGCCAACATTCTAGAATTTTTATTACTATTTTCATAAAATTCCCTATTTAAATAAATTAGATTCCTTTGAACCTGTTCTAACTCAATATTTTGCAACTCTTTTCTTTTAGCTGATAATTCTAACATAATCCTATTCTCTCTGCTTTCTATATATTTACTCTCTAGTTCTTTAATTTCCTCCTCCAACCTTTTTATATATTTATCTTTTTGTTTTTTATATTATAAGAATATTTTCTGCCTAAATCTCTTACCACTGCTTTCATTGCATCCCATATTACAGCTATATTACTACCTCCTTCTTCATTTATAGTCCATATGTCTTTTAATTCTCTTTCCATTTTCTCTAAAATTTCTTCACTTTTAAAAATCCTCGATTCCATTCTCCATCTACTTGCCTGTTTATAATCACAATAAATTTCCATTTCCATAGTTACCATTGCATGATCTGATATTTTAATTATTTTTATCTCTGCTTTCGTTATTTTAGATAATATTTCCAATGTTACAAATATATATCTATTCTTGTAAAAATTTTATGTCTACTAGAAAAATAAGTATAACTCTTTTAATTGCCATGAAATTCTCTCCAAACATCTTTTAATCTATTTCTATTAATAATTTTTCTTAAATCTGTATTATTATACTTTATTTCCGCTTTTGATGGATTAGATTTATCAGTTCCTATATCCAGGGCTTTTTTTCTCATAGAACGCCCAGAACGGAGTTCCGACACCTTTTTTGGATGGAACCTTGTAGGGTAGGCAAGGCGGGTTGTATGACATTTATGAGTTCCAGCACCATTTTTTTTTTTTTACAAAAAAAGCACTGCCTATATCCATAACCATATTATAATCACCTGCCATTATCATATAACCTTTTTTATTTCTTCTATTTCTTTATATACCCTATCATAAAACTCTCTTTGATTTGTATTTAGGTGCATACAAATTTGCTAAAGTGACCTCTTGTCCATAAATCAAGCCTTGAATTATAAGAAATCTTCCCATATCATCCCTTTTTATGGCTTTTATCTTAAATTCACATCTTTTAGCCACCATGATTGCTACCCCTCTTGCTTTTGATCTACCAAATGCCTTTTCATATACATCAGCCCAATATAATCTAAGTTTCCTTCACCCCTTCTTTCTTTTGAGGTGTTTCTTGTAAAAATACAATATCTATTTTCTCTTTGTTAATTGATTTTTCAATTCTTGTTCGTTTATATTTCCCCCCCAAGCCATGTACATTCCATGTAGCTACCTTCAACGATTTCCCCATCTATTCCTTATATTATATATTCCTTTGGTCTCCATATGTGCTCTAACATAAATCTTACAAAATTAAACAACAAAGTAAGCATATTGACCCAAAACATAAATAGCCTCTTACCCACTCATTACTTTTGAACTACCCTGCAGTCAGTTTGAGGTTTTGTCCCTATGTTCTTGATTTTTGCTCAATATTGAAAATACTGCCTTCTAAACCTTATTCACACCCTTAATATATTTAAATAGCTCCAGTCATGTATGAAGAGACTGAAGCAGTTTTCTTCCAGCAAATATTTCCAGATGAATGCCATGAACAAAAGGGCTTCATGCAGCTATTAATGTTCCATCATGTCTCCCATTTCTCTTCTGTCCTTCAGACTATACATAGTCATTTCCTCCAAATTCTCCTGATATGTTTTGTCCCTCAGACCCTGCACCATTTTTGTTTTACATCTCTAGACTCATTCAATACCTTTTTTTTTTTTTAAAAAGTGAGATCTCCAGAACTGGACATAGTATTCCAAATGGGGTTTGACTAAAGCCCTTTACCGCAGGATTAGGACCTATTTTTTCTTGCTCTTGTTCCCTTTAGTGATGCATCCAACTTTACTATTCAGCTCAGATCGTGGAAAATGCAAAACAAATACTAGCACATATATACCCCTCCAGGAACTGGAGTTATTTATATTACAAAACAAACACTGGCTTGAAATTGGAAGCACTATTTCTTAATAAATGAGAAACGCCCAGTATCAAACCACAGCTTTTAAGAATGGCTTATTTCCAGAAGGAAATTGCTGAATTTTGGTACCAGAAATACCAAACGAAAAAGTTATCAAGGGAAATATGCCCTCCCCCCAAATCTTAGTGATAGTTACATCCTCATAAATCAAGTCACACATTCCTCTATGGTTATAGATATTTAGATGTGGTTTGTTAGGATTGGAAATTTGACCTCTCTTTCAACTTTACGTGGATGCTAAAATTTCACTTCACATAAAATAAACTTAGGCATCTTATATTAAGATGTATCTTTTCAGGAGCTTTTGTCATTAGAGGAAAAGATTTCAAGCATTGTGTGATTTAGCAGAATGGTCTAGAGTCTGACAATGAATTGATGATGTACTTACACAGCTCCATCCTGAAATGCCTGAGAAGGATGATGACTGAAATCAATAGGATCAGAAAATATAGACAATGCAGAAATAATGCCAGCAATGTTGATGTCTCCAATCTGATGATAGGTGTCACGAATAGGAGGAGGCTCCTCAAGGTCACATTGAAGGCTAGGATCCTTGCACACCACTTGAGGCATCACTATTAACAGCAGCTCCAAGAATACTAACATCTTCCATGAGTGTCTTCTTTCTGTGTACAAATGCCTCTGTCTGCCACAAGATATTTGAAGTGGATCAGTCTGACCTGTCTTTTTGAGATGTTCTTCAGACACAAATAGCTAGTGCAACATACTATCAATTCAATTCATGGGGCTCTGGGGCTCTCAGCCAATTTGATGGAATATCATGGGGACAATAAATATCATCCTTCAGGGCCAGTTCCTCCTTGTTCCATGGGATCCTATGGGAGCTGGAGGAGAGAAACTGGTTAATTTCATAATGATAGTGAGACTGTCACATATGTGAACATTGTCAGAACACTGGAAGGCCTCCTGAGGCAGGAAGACATGAGCCACAAGAGAAAAATAAAAGCATTAAGTCCATAAATGAAAAAAACAAATAATATAGGCATTGATATATACATTCTATTCTATTCTATTCTATTCTACTCTACTCTACCCTACCCTACCCTACCCCACCCCACCCCACCCCACCCCACCCCACCCCACCCCACCCCACCCTACTCTACTCTACTCTACTCTACTCTACTCTACTCTACTCTACTCTACTCTACTCTACTCTACTCTACTCTATTCTATTCTATTCTATTCTATTCTACCCTACCCTACCCTACCCATATCTACTCTACTCTACTCTACTCTACTCTACTCTACTCTATTCTCAACCCATTTGACCTGTCATATATTATATACATGTAGAAAAAAACCAGTTAACAGGTTAAACAATTGCAAAGTTATTCCTCTATTAACAATTTGTTATTATAATTTACTCATAGAAAGTCTGCAAATGTAAAAAAGGGACCTTTTATCATTTATGGTGGACATGTGATAAAAGAAAGAAATATTGGAGTAGGATTTACATCTTAACATAGAAGATTCTCAAAGTGAATATAATTATAAAACCAGAAACTTTTCATTTGGGTTTAGTGGGTTCAATTGATGCTATTATCTTATTTTACCACACCAAAGGGAGTTGGAAATCTGTTGTCATGGTTCTGATAAATGAGATCAGTAGAAATAAGAACTCTGAGGCAATTGCTTTCCTCAAAGAACACTTTTTTTTTTTAATTTTTTTTTTATTTTTCACCATACACCATACACCAAAACTACATAAACATAACTCTTTTCTTCTAACAGAACAGTGCTTTACATTTTAAATGTTCTTTACATCTTATTTACATTTTATATACATCAATAATTATATCTTTTTCTTTCTCTGTTCTAGCCAATTATAACATTTATTCCAAATTTCA